CTCGTACCGTGCCTGTTAGCCTCGGAACTGATCATTATGAAATAGCACATAACAGGCACGAGATTGACTCAACAGGCACGAGATTGACTCAACAGGCACGAAATTGACTCAACAGGCACGAGATCCTAAAGTTAATTATTTTTTAACAGAAAAATCAAATTTATTTGAATTTTAAATTCAAAATTGGAATAAATAGTCGTGTCTGTTTGTGAAACAAAACATCTTTTCTGAAAGGGTCTGTTGGTTGCCTATAAATACACAAGAATTCCAACGTAATGGTATAGAAAATCACAAGTGTTATTGCAAGCTTTGTTGTATCTTGAAGAGAATCATTTTGTATTTTCCCTAAATTAGTATACAGGCGATAACTCTTTAAGGACAGTCAATTTTCACGCATCAAAGCCAATTTTGTTTATTATTTTCTAACAGATAATACACATACCTTGCTTTAGAGAATTACAGGTAGCGACAATGTTACCACCAGCAGAAGCGTGATGTCACTACCCTTCAAAGTTGAAGAATAACTCAGTTATTACTCAATAGGTTGATAGATGTAACCTGAATTTAAAATAGTCCAGAAGGACACTATTAGGAAAAGTCTTAAAAGAAATTTTAAACAGTGATTTACTCTAGAAAATACTTTCAATGCCATAAAAGCAATATCAGGATCCTTTTTTCAATTTTGTGCAGCTTCGGCAACTTATTTACTTAAATACAACATTGTGATGAAGAGTTTATTGGTAAAATCAAAGCAACCAATTTAACGTAAAATCATGATTTTCATTGGTGGAAATGCAGTTCATACTCTATATAGAAAATGGAAGTTTTTATGAGGAATCTTAATTAGAACTGATCATAAATGTTTCTCTAAAAAAGCATAGTCTATCCCAGTTTTTTAGAAGCTTACTTGTGGGTAAAAATCCCAAGAAGCATTGGCTTGAGGCAACAACATCCGCTCTCCTCCAAAATAAAGTTACTGCTTCAAAAGACTAAAACATAGAAAATGATGCTTTAAGGAAACTAAACTTTTCTTTGTCAATATGAACTTATATATGGAACATTAAATAGTCCAATAAACACTTACTACAATCTGAGAGTATTGTCTGATTCATCAATTAGCAAATGATAAATCTTTAAACTATGTTATCTCATCTAGATAAAACGGAAAGAAAACGAAGAAACAGACATAGTCAAGGGAAATAGTCTGTCATCAAGACAGAAGGCAAGATGGCGAGGTCCAAGAGAGAAATAAAATGACTCAACGTTAGAATATTCAAAGCTTAACTTCTTATAGAAATTAGTTATCTACATGGCAGAAATTTTGAACATTGAATATGTGAGCACATGGAATGACTATCTTTCTAACTCATACAATCAAATGTGCGCTTAAACATGTTGTATGTTGATTCATAAGTTTATCCTTGTAATCTCATTGTTTTAGTGTAGAATAGAAAGAGGAGCACAAGGACGAAGGAAGCTTCTAAATACTGATTTGTAACTTTTATAAAAAAAAAATAGTCAAATTACTAAACATATTAAAGCTTTTATACCACAGAGACAAATAAAAATTACTTTCAAATTTCAAATACTTTAAGTTGATGAGAGGACAATACATATGCTACGGGGGTGGGACAAATTACAAAAATTCAAAACTATAGGAGACATGAAAATATTAAGACGCTAGATTATGACATTTTTGTTACCTTTTGTATGAAAACCCAACTATTGCAGAAAAAGTTCAAAAATCAAAGCAGTTTTAAGACTGAAACTAATAACTTCAGTTCAAATTTATTCCCAGAAAGCTTCTCCAACATACAGCTTCAGTGTTCAAACAAAAGTTAAACTGAGGTATGGAAAAGGCTCAGATTTTCTCTGATTAATCAAAGAGCAGAGTTAAAACTGCCATGGCTGCACCATTGGTTGCCTCGTGAGAAGGGAAATAAGAAACTTAATTCTTTCTCATTCTCCTTCACAACCTTCCAAGTGCCAAGCAAGGAATTAACCCAAAAAAATATTGCAGTTTGCCTAACAATAATCTTCACACCTTGGAAATTTTGGATTCTCAAGATCCGAAAAGGGCATAAATATTTGAGCATGAATACATAATACTTCTCTCTTCATCGATCAACCCCTCTTACAAACACACATTCAAAACTTCTAAGTAAAAACTCCATTGAACGAACACACAAATTTTCAGTAATTTGTACTAATAATTTTGCTTATATGCAATTCTCCCAACTTTCAACGATTCTTTTCTTTTTTCCTTTGTGACAATCAATTTCACAAAAAAAAAAAACCAACACAATCTTAAATCTAAATAACACATAATAATAAAAGTTGGGGGAAACAAAGATTTTTTTTTGGAAAAAGTCAGTTAAAATTGTACATGCAACTGACCCAGAGAGGGAAGAGCTTTCTCCTACAACAAAGTATGGAACTTGCAAACCTGAATAGCAAAGGAGGGCAGAGCAACTGATATGGTTTTTTCAAATGTCAAACTACCAAGCCTTAATTGTAGGCAATTTGCAAAATTTTACGGTATCTTTGAACTACTTGAAAATCTTAAAACTATCCTCCTGCATTTAAAGCAATGTTAAACTCTACTTTTAGAAAATCTAAAGAAATCTCTGTTTTCTCGATTAATAAATAGAATTATGTAAAAATGAAGTATCTCCACAACTCCATGAAATATGAAAAAGAAATACAATAGTTTTACCTACCTAGGTTAATCTAGAGTAGAGTGTATCAGTATAAGCGAAACACAAATTGACTTATAAAAAAATTTCCCAGGTAAAGAAGCATTCAGAGCAGCTAATTACAATCTTGAGTATCAAAAAGCCCAGGTCTCCTAACGGGGAATCTGAAATAACAATTGTGGACTTCACTCTAAAAATGATGAGTCAGGCATATCATCTCTGTGGGTGCATAGGTCGCTTCAATGATAATTATTATTATTATTATTATTATTCATAATCACTCTATGAAAAAGGAAAAAACAGAGATTGAAACTCAACCTGGTAAAGCAATCATACTAGACGTATATTGGCGGTAACAACAGATCAGCCCGTCCTCCTTCTCTCCGTGCTCGTTTCCCAATTCAGAATTGCATCTTTACACAGATTAATCTGCAGAAAAAATAACGTAAATTAAGAGATCCAATCTTTGAACGAATATTGAAACAACAAAAATTTGATAGGACTGTTTAATCCTAAAGTGATTAGTTGGCATCAAAAACACATAGTAAATGTGGAAATCAGGAATATTTACTGATATGTATATAAAAATTCTAGCAACAATTATGCAAAACAGCAGAAAACGAACATTTACCAACCAAAATTTAGATTAGCAGTAGAAGAAGTGCAATAAAGAAAGAAAATTGCACAACGATGGATAAAGTATCTGCATATGCCAACAAGAGAATTCACAGAGAGAAATTGAGAAATAAAGGGAAAATAAAGAGGTATATAGGTGAATAGATGATGGAGTAGAGTAAGGCAGATGAAACAATGAAAAGGCTGTGCAGGTCATGGCGCTTACTCAGCAAATTTTAGGCTACGTGTATAGCGTACAAAAAAAGCAGAATGGGAAAGAGCAAGAAATACCATTCAGATCGATCACATTCACCTGTGATGTCAGAAGTAGCAACAAACTCCGCAAACTTGAAATATAAAGAAATCTGTACATGAAGCAGAAAAGAACAAATAAAGAGAAACCCAAACTGAGGAAAGAATTTTCACAGAATAGCGTGGATAGATAAACAAATAAAGAATCTTATGAAGAAAGAGGAAGACATATGACCATCAGATATAGAAGAGAAACAGTCAGAGCAATCAGTAGAAGAACAAAAGAGAATTGTTCATTTTGTGACACGAATACCAATTCTTCCACCACGTGAACGCAATCTCATCCATATTCAAAGATCTCCAGCTAAACTCCGTCAAAAGCAAAGATGGCATTCGCAACCAAAAGATTGTAAGTCATGAGTTGTACCCTGCGTAAAACAGAGGATTCAGTGATTATTGAAATAAGGAATAAAAAAATATTAATTTCACTTAGTGTCACACCTCCTTTTTGCGCGCCCGGCCCCAAAGGGTTAGATGCGCGGGTGGAGTTTTTCCAATTTAAGTGACAATATTCGAAATGGGATTATTTATTTAATTCAGAGTCGCCACTTGGGAAAGGNAAAGATGATACCGAACTTACTTGTTTGAACAAATACAGACTGGATCTTTATTATGTTTGCCGAACCTAAATTTGTTTGATTACCTGATTGATTGTTTATGAGGTGAAAGTTACCTCATGCTTTGTCTTCATCGAGTGAATACGCTTATTAATTTGCTAAGTGAGATTGCAGGCAAACTAACAACATATACTGAGTTATATTTAACGACCTCCAAGTTTTATTTTTTAAACTCTAACCCATTTGAACTTGATAAACGAAATTGGCTGTTTATTAGGAAAATTACTACTAATTGAACTCAAAACGCCTATTAGTTTTCCTCAACAGTCATCGCGTTATTTCGAAACAAGGAATCTATACCGAGATCCGATATCGAACCTATATCGGAATAAATAATCTGACAGGAGAGCTGGCATTCATAGCCAGACTCTTAATGTGGCTGCGTGAGAGTTGGTTTGGGATACATTTATCGCGGACCCAGTACCATAGATTTGTCAATTCAGTGGTCTGGACAAAATACATACAGGTGCTTGCCATGACTCTATGTTATACTGCCATAACTAAATTAAACAGAATGTTATACTGAACTGAACGTATACTAAATCAAACATACTGTCTATGTCATACTGTCATTACTATTAAACAATGCTATCTAATAGTTCATCTCAAACAGAATGTATGTTAGTTTATACAGAATGTTTGCAGTTTGCAGTTAAACAAATACAGGCTAAACTAGCATTTAACCTATTTTGACCACCAGTATTATAACATAAACAGATGTTCATTTCCTTATTTCTGCTTCAACTTCAAACTTTCAACAGTACATGGTTTCAGAGGTTGTGTACCTGGAAATATTTGACAATTGAAGAAGAGGGCAGTCAGCAAAGTAACAATGACAACAAGTGCAG